GCGCCCCCCCTGCTGGGCCCTGCCCTGCTCCCTGCCCCACAGCGCCCCCTAGTGCCGCCCTGGGGCATTGCCCAGCCCTGCCTGCCAGGCGAAAGCGCCCCCTGCTGGGCCCTGCCCCGCTCCCTGCCCCACAGCGCCCACTAGTGCCACCCATGGGCATTGCCCAGCCCTGCCTGCCAGGGGAGAGAGCCCCCTGCTGGGCCCAGCCACACAATACCCCTTAGCACCACCCTGGGGAACTGGGCCAGGCCTGCTTACCAGGGGAGAGCGCCCCCTATTGAGCCTGCCCCGCTCCCTGTCCCCCAGCGCCCCCTAGCACCGCCCTGGGGCATTGACCAGCCCTGCCTGCCGGGAGGGAGCGCCCCCTGCTGGGCCCTGCCCCTTTCCTTGCCCCACAGCGCCCGCTAGCGCCACCCTGGGGCATTGCCCAGCCCTGCCTGCCAGGGGAGAGAGCCCCCTGCTGGGCCCAGCCACACAATACCCCTTAGCACCACCCTGGGGAACTGGGCCAGGCCTGCTTACCAGGGGAGAGCGCCCCCTGCTGAGCCTGCCCCGCTCCCTGTCCCCCAGCGCCCCCTAGCACCGCCCTGGGGCATTGACCAGCCCTGCCTGCCAGGAGGGAGCGCCCCCTGCTGGGCCCTGCCCCTTTCCTTGCCCCGGGAACTGGGCCAGGCCTGCTTACCCGGGAGAGCGCCCCCTATTGAGCCTGCCCCGCTCCCTGCCCCCCAGCGCCCCCTAGCACCGCCCTGACACCAATGACAGAGTCACGCACAGCACTTTCCAGAGAGCGCTCCCCTCCAAGCCCTCGCCCAGCCCATTGCTGCGTAGCGGGAGACGGGCTGGGCTCACGCCGGGGTGGGCGTCTGTGGCCCACCCCAGTATCACTATCAGGGGGACTGTGATGGAAAGCGCCGTAACCCTGCAGAATAAAACCCTTCCTCCGCCCCTCCGCCTTCCCCAGGGACTAAAGAGGATCTGACCCTGGACCCAACCACGGCCCACCCCCTGCTGGAGATCTCGCCGGACGGGAAGGAGGTGAAATGTGGGACTTTCCCAAAGGACGTCCCTGCCGGCCCGAGGCGATTCGACACGGCCAACTGCGTGGTGGCCGACCAGAGCTTCCGAGCGGGGCGGCACTACTGGGACGTGTCCGTGGGCTGGAAGCGGCGCTGGAACCTGGGCGTCGTCTCGGACTCGGCAGAGCGACGGGGCCGGCTGATCCAGACGAAGTCCTGGCTGCCGTGGTCTGGGGAGGTCTGCGCCGAGGGCTACTGGCTGATCGGCTACGACGCGCAGAAGGCTGGGAAGCCGTACTGGGCCTTCGACACCCACCCGATGCCCTTCGACTGTAGCCACCGACCTCAGACCATCAGGGTCTGTCTCGACTACGAGGCCGGGGAGGTCTCCTTCTATGGAGCCGATGACCCCGATAATTTGATCCCCCTGTACTCCTTCTACCACGCTGAGTTCAAGGGCACCTCCGTGTACCCCCTCTTCGACCCCTGCTGGCATGATAAGGGGAACAACACTGACCCCCTTAAAATCCTGTGACCAGCAGATTTGCTAGTGGGGCGGGGGGGCCAAAGCGGTCCCAGCCCTGGGACTACCAGCGTACCCCTGGGCAGAGCCAGCGTCCCAGCCCTGCTCTGAGAGCCGCACTGCCCCCTCCCCGCGCCCGGGCAAAGCTCGGCCAGCAGGAGCTGGGCTGGGCAGAGAGAAAGCAGCGAGCAGAGACCATGGGCGACTCACTCACTCACTGCCGTACGTTCCCCCTGCCCATCCCCTGCGGGTTTGTCTTGAGTACAATGTATCCTGATCAGTAGTGAAGCGCCCACCCCCCACTGCTCTAACCACCAGGCCCCACTCCCCTCCCAGGCCTGCTCCCAGCCCTCTCCCTCCCCCAACTCTAGATTCCCTTTCCCCTCCTGCCCTGGGGACAGTCCCCAGGCATAGAATCCAGGTTGCCCCCGGTGTCCTCGTTCTGACCTGTGCAAAGTGCAGATAAAACGCCCGCTGTGACGTGGGGGGGGCGCTGCCTGTCTCCGTCCTGGCGCTCCTCCCTACGATCCTCCAGTCCCTTTAGCCGCAGCTCCAGCTCCGGCCGCCGCTGCTCTTCCAAGGCAGAGCGGGGGGGAGAGGGGTCAGGAG